TATCCTGCCAAGAGAAGCTAGAGACACACACACACATACACTAAATCTACTTATCTATCTATGCATGTATATGTACATATATATACAATATACACATATACATATAGATAATATTCAGTGCTTATATAGTGTATTTCAGGTCATGTTGTGAATATCTTATGCATGTATCTAGATGATCCTAATAGAGAAATGAAAAGAGAATAGAATCCTATAACCAATGAGTCATACATAGTATGTGGATATATAGATACAGATATCTATATATGCACACACATATACACATGCACTATATATAAGCTTATGTGCATAGATGTATATTTATGTATGTACATATATAGTGTACACATGTATACATATACATATATACATATATACACATATATGGAAAATGAGTCTTCAGAATGCTTGGCATGACACTACCTTAAAATTATCCTCTCAAGAACTTTTAAACATAAAACTGCAAAGAGGAAAACAAACAGATGAGAAATGGAACAGATCTGCCATCTGTGGCAATCTGTTCTTATCTTTGGTGGCAGTGTAACCAAGAAATTATCACTCTAACACCTCAGTGACTGATGTGCTGTTTAAGGAAGTATAGCTATCAATCAAGAAAGAGAATCCAAAAAGAGTTGTTGTTCCTAACAAAATGAATACAGTGAAAATTTGTCTAGGAAGTGACAGTTTTAAAGATAATTTTTCATCAATTTTAAAAGACATCTCAAATTTCAGATGATTTCTTTTAAATCAGAAGATAATAAGGATGATACTGTTGCCCCCAAAAAATAAGTGAAAAAGCCTTAGCACCTTCCAACAAATAAGCCTACTTTTTTTTAAAAACACCATGTTATTAATGTCATATGCACATATGTAGTGTATCCTTGACAGAGAAATAAAAAGAGAACCGAAACACATGACCAGCAATGTATTATGGAAAACTTTATATTCACTGTTGGACAAAGTTGAATGAAAAGTGTAGGAAGTTATTCTCCTTACTTAGTTTATGGTTTGCTGATGAATAAAAAAATATTTCGCTAAGCAGAGAAAAATACAATATTAAGGGCTTTTTTTCCAACAAGATGTCTTCCTAGGCGTATATTAAGATCATACAAAATTCTTTGACAAACGATAACTCTGTGATCTTCTGATTATCAAAATAATAATGTTGATGATGATGATGGTGATGATAATGATGATAATGATGATATTGGCTGGTTTGATAAATAACTTTGAGGTTTGCACTATACTTTATATGCATTATTTCAAATGATCCTCACTACAACCAGATTAAGTACCAAAAGATACCAAAAGAATTATAATGTTTATTTTACTGATGAGGATGTTGAGGCTCAGAGAAGTTGAGATTTACTTATAGTGTCACAACTAGCCAAGGCTGTGTGAGAATGATAGATGTAGAGAAAATCAAGTAAGGCATGAAACAGGGAAACATATATTCAATGAAGGTATCCACCAGTGATGTACAGGATGCCATGAACAACCAATCTAACAAGCAAATAATCAAAATAGAAGGGCTTCCTATAAATGTCAAAGTCAATAGTGGGATATATTAACTACAAAAGCTAATGAAATCTTGGGTTTCACTAAGAGAGCCATAGAGGTCAATACTAGTAGAAAATACTGCTCTCCTTTGCTCTGGTAAGGTGAATGTGAATGGTTTCTTAGATAACTGACAATTTAGAAGATGTATGATAGTAATCTTAAAGTATTTTAAGGATTATCAGTTTAGAAGGAATGGATTTGTGTCCCTTGGCCCCATACAGCAAATTTCAAAGAGCGAAATTTATTCCTGATATGAGGAAAATAATTCCTAACAATTAAAACTCACAGGGAATTGAATGGGCTGCTTCAGTGGGTGATGGATTCTCTCTCTTTAGAAGTCCTCAAGCAAGGCTGGAGGAAACTTGTTGGTTACATTTTAAAGAGGTTTCCTATCCATGTACAAGGCTAGAAGGCCTCAGATGAGCCTTTTAACTCAAAGATTCTCTAATCCTTAATTCTCCAATTGATATTATGCTGACTACATCAATCCCCAGAATATTAAAAGAAATCCTCATTGAGATACCCTGTCATTTGAAAGATATTCACTTAGTGATGTGCATTAGGGGAGGAAGAAGTAGATGAGGAATGTGTATTTACTAAATTATGATAATAGCTTGAAGGAGAATCCACTTAGTGCATCAGTACAAATAACTTAGAAAGGCACAAAAATAGACAGTGACCCAGATGTACAATTGAATAGGATGAAAGAAAGCTGGATCACATTTGGCAAATTGCAGTGCTTGCAACTATCCTAAGATTCCAAAGAATGCATTTTTTACACTACATCACCCACTTGATGTCATGTGGCTACAAATCATGCAAAACGAGTCTGAACAATGAAGACTTTAGGTGCTCCAAAGGACAATGTTAAGTGGACGTGTGATCATAAAAAAATTATTATTATTAGACAAGAAAGTAGGTGTGCTATACAGTTTAGAGGAAGAAAAATAGGTAGACAGTCAATCATAGTTCAAGCATCCATGAGACATTCACTACTCTAAAAAGGGTCCATTAGCACATTGGATGTATAGGGGATGGTCATTGAAAGACATGAGTAAGAACCACAAACAATAAGAAGGCATCGATAGATTGTGATCTGCTCTAGTGAAAAAAGAATTCTCATCAGTGAGACCATGTGCCCATTAAATTTTCAGCATAACATGTAACAAAATAAGGTACTACTAGAATAAATTGTCAATCAAAATGTTAAAATGACCACTGGAAAATTCATATCTTCCTAAAGCATGATGTTGGGTTTATATTAAAATTATGAGTGAAGTCAATGTTTTCTTTCTTTGACATCAGGTACTTAAAAATCATTGACTTTAGAACTGGAAGGAGCATTAAACACCCTCTGTCTCAGGGATTCTTAACCTAGATAGAGTCTGTTAACTTATGTTTATTATTTTAATAAATGTATTTCAATATAACTCTGAGTATTTTGCTTTGTGCATTTAAAAAATTATTTGGAGAAGGGGTCCAAAGGCTTCACCAAACTGCCAAAGGGGTCCATGACATAAACAATGTAAAGAACCACTGCTTCATGCCAATCCTCTCATTTTATAGATAGGGAAGATAAAGTCCAGAGAAATAAAGTGATGTATTCAAAGTTATATGGTTAGTTTGTGCCTGGGCATACACCCTCAATATAATTTGCTTTGTACCATCCCTCACTGCCTCATTTTGTTTACATAGAATTCATCCTATCATATCAGAGTCAGATAACAATGTGACACAGGCTCTGAAGGTAATTTTGAGGAGTTCCCAAATATATTCTGACCATGTCTTTTGTAGCATCCTTGAAGTATATGGCCTCCTGGGGTAACCATTTTGAGGAGAACAACAATTATGTGATCGTGTCTCTGTTTGTATTTTAAAATACCAAGCATACTACTTCAAATTTGGGATTTAAAATAAATTATTTTATAAAATAAATAAACTATTATATTTAGGATTGATGTAGATATCTCAAATGTGGTGATAGTTGTGTAGGAAAACTCCTTTTTTTTCCTGGAAGTTCAAAACATTGATCTTTTTTAATGGTCAAACAATGGCATAAAGCTATAGTATAATTTTCTTTGAAGAAAAAAAAACAAATCTGCCTTGTCAGGTACCTGCTTTGGCAAATAATAAGTTTAATTCCTAACACCCACATGAGGCACAAGAATAGTTAGATTAACAACTCTAGTGTCATACTGTCAGCTGCTGTTTATTTAAATTAAAATGTCACCATCCAGAAATAAATGAGGAAGTTGAAAAACGGTAAATTTCAAAAACATACAGTACATTGGCAGCTTAGTAAAAATGACATTACATTCTTGTTTCTGTTGAACTTAACATTGGCCTATTTCCATTTTAACATGTAGCGAGATTTTGCCCTCACCCACCCCCATCATTTCTACATATCTACTGTGAAGCAAAAAAATGGACATAATGTATGTAAAGCATTTTGCAAACCTAAAAGGCTATGTAACTGTCAGCTGTTAATAGCTGAATATATGAATCGTTTTCATAATTATCAATTTATTATTCTTATTCTTATTACCTAGACTTCCGTGTGGATGCTCCCTCTACTGAGACAAATCACAGCCTTTCTAAACCTTACTAATTGATTTCATGTGGTTCTGTATCCCACCAGATTCACCACCAGTGATGAATCTCTACAGATACACAGTCTATTGAAAGGCTCACAGTCAAAGCCTTCGTAGTATCTGTCAAAGAATGCACTCTATTAGTGAAGCCTTTAAGAACCTAGTCTTTCTGCCATGATGAGGAGGACTTTTGTTTGGAAAAATTTATGAATGAGTAATGATATGCATTGGTAATAGGAGTCCCCCAACCAATGATAATGGAGCTCCATCAAAGTCAATAATTTATATGACTATGAAAAGGAAATTCCCCTACGATTCACACTAATTTGCTGACTAAAAATTTGCTCATCTTATGTTTATCTGTTCTACTTATTTTGGAGATTTCTTATACTTTTACATCACATATCTTCTTTTAAACCATTTTGCTTTGGCTTGAAAATTCCTCTTCAGTATAATAGCTTAGGCACCAATATAGTCAACAAGTCTCAATTTCATCTTTCTGTAAGGTCAAACGGTTCTTCTACCCTAACCTCAAACCTACATTTTTTTTTTGTTTATTTCTCAAGCTCTTTTTTCTAAAAGCTATCTCTAATATGCTATTTCCCTTTTGGACATATGCAACAGCTAGCTACTCTAATCGAAAGTCAATTTGGCCATCTTCATTCTAACATCAGTAGGACGAGCTGCCACACATGAGAATAAACACAACTTCTATATCTCTAACCTACTTGACATATTCACTAACTCTTTTGCTAACATATATGTTAAAAATGTGGGCTATATTTTAGGTTATTCAATCATGAGACAGTGGTATAAAAACACATTCAGGATTAACAACATGGAGATATTTACTTGGCCAGGCTTTCCATTCTCACATAAAAATGCCTCATATTCGGATGCGAATTCGGGGGCGTTGTCATTGACATCCAGCACTTTAATAGCAACAGGTACTCGAGATATTTGACTGTGGTTCCCTATGAGAAGGAAAAAATAACAAGCATTGAGTGTATTTCACTTTATTTTATCTTGCAAGTACAATTTAATGGGCTTAAAAGACGGTCTCATATAAAGTGAGGTGTGGGGGGTGTGTGTGGGTGTATGTGTGTGTGGGGGTGGGTGGGTGGGTGTCTGTGTGTCTATCTGTTATTCTAAAATAGGACACTTTTGTCAAGGCACATATAGCATCTGACCATCCCACAAATAAAATCAGCCAGTGCTCCATCTCCTAAAAGGAGAATAAATCTTTCTCAAATAATCTTTGTGAGATATTTACTTGATGATGACCTTCTTGGCCTAAAGTAGAAGATTTTTTTTCCCTCTAATATATCAGGCTTTGTTTTATTGATAAAGTGCATTATACACGAGGGGAGGGATGCTGTAAACAACCAGGATTGATTTCTTTGTTTATCTTTGTCAGAACACAGTACATTTTACTCTATTAGTCGCTGTGACTGCTCATATATTATGTTCAGCATTAAAAAAGACGATGGATAGCTCAGACCAAATTGTACAAGATGAGGGGTGGGCTTAGAAAAAAGTACAATCAGACAATATTGGGAATTTTTCTAGCACTCCATTTCATTAATATTTGATAGTCTAATTGACCCCTGCAGCCTTCTTGATATGAATGAACCCAGATCATCTTTAATGAAAGTATTCATCACTTACTGATTTAGATAGTGCAGTGGATATAGTGCTGAGCATGGAGTCAGAAAGACCATAGTTCAAATCTGTCCTCAGACACTTACTAGATCTGTGAACCTGGGCAAGTCACTTCAGCCTCCCAGGAATTTTGTGAGGATCAAATGAGATAATATCTGTAAAGGGCTTAATGGCACATTACTAAGTGCTATTTGTTAGCTATTAATAATGATAACTTTCAGGTACAATTTAAATAGCTGAGGCTTCTATGTATAACTCTTTATATAAAATATATTTTTCTGCTTATTTTCTTTCATTTTAATTGCTAAGATGATTGATATATTGTCCAAGATCAAGGTATATCATCATCCCTTATTTTTTTTTTAATGCAATGCCATTTACCTCTCTTCCCACAGTGTAATAATCTTGTGATCTATTGTGAATTATATACAATGCTTTGGATATGGCTGATTGTTTGTTTGCCGTTCTATTTGCATGACACTGAATATTAATAAAGAAACCAAGGGGGAAAAATATTTGGTTTGGGAATGTATTTCATAATTCTGACCTTTCTTTATAACGTTGATAAAATCTAGTTCATTACAACCATCAAGTACTTTTTTTTCTTTTAGAAAATACTTCCTCATGCCAAGAAGTACTGTGTATTCTAAATGACACAGTAAAATATATAAATATATATACATTTATATATATATATATTATATATATATTATATACACACACACACACATATATTCCATTTTACTAAACATCAGATAAGTGGATACCCTGGTATTCAGTGACATCACTCCCTGCATCCAAATACTGCCTCTCTGATTACTTTGTTGAGCATTTTATCTCATCTTTTCAATTTTCCTCTTCATATACCTCTTTTTTCTAAAACTCCCTTCTTATTTCTTCCTAATCTCATCCTAAAAACAGTCTCTCTTGCTCCAAGATTTTACTTTTAATGTTTCAACCTGGGCTTTCCAAGTCATCCCTACATACCTCCACTTAGACTTTGTTTTCTTAACCATCTTCAATATCTCTTTTACTGATAAATATGTTCTTCAAATTAGTAGAGTTCATTCTTAGCTTAAACATGTCTTTCCTTAATCTTCTTACCACCACATGTTGCTTTCTTGCTTGCCTCTACCTTTCAATTTCAAAATTATTGAATTTGTTACCATGATTAGAATACCACACATATATGTATGTAAATGAGTATGTATGTGTTTTAAGGCAATAGGGGTTAAATGACTTGTTCAGTGTCACACAGCTAGTAAGTGTCTGAGGCCATATTTGAACTCTAGTCCTCCTGACTCCAGGGCCGGTGCTCTATACACTCTACCACCTACCTGCCCTTTCATATAGCCTTTAAAATAAATTAATTTGAATAATTAATATATGTATAATATATAAATTATAAATAAATAATATATATTATGTATAAATAAAAATAATTTAAAATAAATTAATTCTTAATGGATATCTGTTAGAAGCCTGGAAGCCTTTTTAGGCCCCTGAAATCTACCTTTAACTCCTTACAACATAACTCTCATCCCTGCCAATGTATTCAACACTTACTCAATCTATATGTATTTGCCAATCCCTTACACATGCAGAGAGAACTCTGTATTATGTTGCTGAAGGTCATATAAAGATTAATAAGACGTGATCTCTGATATCAAGGGGCTTCTAACCCAGTCAGGGAGATGCCTGGAACTCAAATAACTATATTATAAAATAAAGTATGATAAATGCCTAAAAGAGGAAAAAATGTTATTCAAGAATTCAGAGGAAGAAAAAAATCCTATGTGAGGGGAGAGATCAAGAAAAGCATCACAGAGATGCTGAATATTGAAATTAAATATACCCCAAACTAAAAGCAACGGAAGGTGAAAATCAGAAGTATCTATTCATATCTTAAAGTGAGAGGTTAGACTAGGTCACCCAGCTTTTAGATTCTATGACTTTATGCTTTTAATTTAATGAAACATAGTACTTTTAGCATCTAAGCATACCTATTAATCAATCAGTAAGCATTTAAGTAACTAGTTTGTTCTAGGCTTTATTTCTGGAGATAACAAACAAAAGTGAAGTTGTCCCTGCCTTCAGGACAACTCCAATCTAGCCAGAGGTGATCATTTGCACATGCATAGATATATAAAAATTCTTATCAGATTTTTTAGAGGGAAAGCACTAACATCTGAGGGGATGAGATGAGGTTTCATGTAGAAGATGGCAATTGAGCTAAGCCTTGAAGGAATCTAGGGAGGTGATGAGAGTGTATTCCTGAACATTGGGGACAGACAGAGTAAAGGCATGGAAGGCCCTGTGGGATAGAATACCATGGGTAAAGAACAGTAAGAAAACTTCTTTGGAAACTATATCCCTCTTCCTCAGTTTCCTTATCTCTAAAATGGGGATAATAATAGACTGCCTCACAGTAGTTATTGTGAGAATAAAATTATATATTTGTAAAGTGTTTTGAATACTTTAAGGCCCTATATGAATGCTAGTTATTGTTGTTATTTTCAGCTAGAGGACCTTTCACCCATTAATATGCCCTGATTCTATGACCAAAGGAAGATAGCAGCAACAGGAAAAAAAAAAAAAAAACAAAAAAAAACCTCAGTTTTATAGAGTATTACACTATAGTACTATAGAAGGAGGAGAAGTTCAAGGGCGAAGGTATTGGCCTCTAAAGAAAACAAGAGGAATATTGAACCAGACATTTTCCTGCTGCTTAGTTCATTTCCAATTTAATCCATATGCGTGGTCAACTGATTGTCTCTTTGTACCTTCTAGCTCTAATCCCACCTTCTGCTGAAGGCTTTCTACCTTCTGCTCCTCCCCCAGTTGCTAGTTTTCTCCTCTCAGATTACAGTATACATTTGTATATGCTTAGTCATTTACGTTATTGTCTCCTTCTTTGGAAAGTAAGCTTCGGAGGGTAGGGACTGTTTTTCTTTTCTCTGTATCCCCAGAGTTTAGCACATTGTTAATAATTAATAAATGCTTGTTAACTGACTTACTCACTTACTGACCCTGTCTCACCCTTCTGTCTCTTGCCCTAAACAGTTATTTTTTTTCCTAGAAAATAAATATACAGTTTACTGACCATTCCACCAGAAATAGTTGCATTAATGATTTGCATCTTAGCACTGTGCCTGGCACATAGTAGGTATTAAATAAATGTTTATTGAATTGGATTGTATCTGAACCTATTTAGCAAGGAAGACTCAAATGTTTCTCGTGATTTTTCGTTCTTCCAAAATTCTTTATTTTTGTTCTCCACATGCTAATGGTAACAAGGCTCATAATCCTAAATCAAATAACCCAACAGAGGTACATAGCCTGGGTGTCCAGCTTTCAACCTCTCTCCTGTTGATTAAACCTCCAATGAATATATGATCAAGCCCTTTGTTTGAAGTAATAAGACCTGGTTTGGGGTCTTAGTTCAGTTTCTTATTTGTGTAACCTTGAGAAGGCCACTTTGCCTTGACAACCCTCTGTGTCCTCTGCTCTAAAAGAAGAAAATTATTTTTCCTGTCCAGCTCACAAAGTGGTAGTGTTTTCACTTGACTACAAATATTTGTTATTAGTATTTTTTAACTTTTTTATATGAATGATATGGGAGGGAGATATTTTTGATTAATTGAAAAAATAATTTAATTTGAAAATTGATAAGAGCTGTTGTGGGTATAAAACTCTAAAAAAATGTGACTTGTTTTTTCTAAACCTATTCTTCCTGGTTTGGAGTTTACTGAATTGGTGTCCTCTGTGCAATTATTCACTACTGGGGGCTCTGTTTTCTTCCCTCTAATCTACTGTATGTTGTACCCAGGGACTATAAGGATGCATATAGTTTTAGTCAATAAAAGAAGCTAAATTTAAATTTGTTATGATTTTCATTCACAGTTTTCGCCATGTGGAAAAATAGCTGCAGAATGGGTACTAGTAAACCCACAGAAATAGGGAAATGTTCTCTGAAATCTCTATGAGTCTTAAAAAGATAAAGTTTTTAGTGCCTTCTCTAGATACATTTAGCAGGTAAAAATAGACTCCCTAAGTCATAAAATCATACAATTTGAGATTGAGAGGGATATTTAAGACCATCTAGTTTGACCCATATACAAAAGGAATTGCTATACCCTAACAAGAGGTCCTCCAGTTTCTGTTTTAAGATCTCTAAGGAGGGAGAATCTATCCTCTTTTGAGGTAGCCCATTTGACTTTTGCACAATGCTCATTTGTAGGATGATTTCCTGTCTCTTCCCACATTCACCTTAACTTTGCTTCTTTGCAACTTTACACAGTGCTCCAGGGTC